AAAAAAAAATTAAGGGAAACACAACAAACAAGGCACAGACACTGCTCTCACAAAGCTTACAGTTCGGTGGAGGAGAAAACCAAGTAAAAACCTAAACATCATATCCTATGTATCACAACTGGACATAAGTGCAGAGGATGGGCAACTACTCCGGGGCTGGCAGTAAGAGGGGAAACTTTCCAGAAGCTGAGGGAGAGCAGAAATCCCAAGAAAGAGCAAAAGCAAGCAAAGTAAAAAGGAAAATGGAGAATATCCCAGCAGAGGAAAGAGTACATATACAAAGACCTGGAGTACAAGAGTCAAGTGAGTTCAGTAAAACTAGAAGAGAGTCTCAAGAGCAAAGCCTAGAAGACTGAGCAGTCCTGTAAGTGTCATATTAGCAAAGCCATGGAGCTTGGATTTTACTCTGAGACAATGAGAAGCCATTAAAGGTAGAGAGAAGTAGACAGGAACAGGTGAACACGTGTGTCCTTAACAAAGATCACATTGCCTGTGGTATGGAAAACAATATAACAGGAATGAAAGCTTTTGGGAAAACATAATCCCAGGGTAAGACAAGGGACTGTCATTATTATGAAAAGAAGAGCTATCCATGTGGGCTAAGTGAGCAAGTGGTGACTTCCAAGTCATTCACAACCTCAAAGTCCTCTATACAGAAGACAAACACTCATATCCCTATGGATGCCAAGTAGATGCCCAACAACTCCTAAGCAATATGTCTCAGCTTTATGTGGGGAAGAAAAAAAATTATCGAAAGAATGGTCAATGGTCAGTCAGTTAAACATCTGACTTCGGCCCAGGTCATGATCTCCCAGCTCCTGGGTTCAAGCTCTGCTTGGGGCTCTGTGCTGACAGTTCAGAGCCTAGAGCCTGCTCCAGATTCTGCGTCTCCATCTCTCTCTGCCCCTCCCCCACTTACAATATCTCTCTCTCTCAAAATAAATAAACACTAAAAAAAAAAATTTTTAAAGAATACACAAAAATGGACTTCTTTTCCCAACCTAATGAAACTTTTCAGCTCCAAGGTCAAGTCCAGGACCTTGGAGTTACCTCTGTTCTGATAAGAAAACAGGACCTTCTCCATTTGTGTAGATTTGGAGACTCACAGTTCACTCCAACTCTCCAACTCTAGTTTAAAGACAGTTTGCTTTGCCTTTGCCTGGCGTGCCTCCTTCCACGCCACCACCTAGACTTGCAAACTGGCTTGAGAAAGGGACTTCTGTGGTTAAGAGAATGTTCCAGAGACCTGACAGTCTCTACAGATCTTACAGTGAGATTTGTAACTACTGGAACAATCAAATCACAACCACCATGCAAGACCTACAGTTTGTCTGACCATCACAGACTCCTCTTTTGGCCTTCCTTCCCCACCTTCAGTTCAGCATGCAAATATAAGCCACAGTCATCTGAACTTTGGGACTATTTGGATTCTGGGGGCAAAGAAGTTAATTGATCAGGCACAGGAATATAAATATCAAGAGATACACAAAGGCAGATGATTAGAATTATATGTTGTTGTTTTAACATTTATTTATTTTTGAGACAGAGACAGAGCATGAATGGGGGAGGGTCAGACAGAGAGGGAGACACAGAATATGAAACAGGCTCCAGGCTCTGAGCTGTCAGCAGAGAGTCCGACGCGGAGCTGGAACTCACGGACCGCGAGATCATGACCTGAGCTGAAGTCGGACGCTCAACTGACTATAGAATTATGTGTTTAAGGAGGAAAAGAAAATCTCAAAACTGAAGATAAGATCAACATGAAAGAGCATCCCGTAAAGTTGAAAAACTTCATGTGAGAAATCCCACAAGTGTTATTTCTTTTAAAGTCAATGTTTTTCCTACTCCAAGCCAGAAGATCTTATTTTCTATTTTCTACTAAAAGTTTAACATTTTTGCTTTTGTTTTCTAAGTTTATTTATTTGACAGACAGAGTGTGTGAGCAGGGGAGGGGCAGAGAGAGACAGGGAGACAGAGGATCCCAAGCAGGCTCCTTACTGTCAGCACAGAGCCCAACATGGGGCTCGATCTCATGAACAGTGAGATCATGACGTGAGCAGAAATCAAGAGTCTGATCCTTAACCCACCCAGGTGCCCTACATTTTTGCTTTTGATTAATGGCCTTTATTTGATCTGATGTTGATTTTTATGTCCTGGTGTGAAATAGGGATTTAATTTTTTCCATATGTTCCATTTACTGAATACTTCTTTTTCCCATTTACCTGTCATGCCACCTTAAGTCATGTCAAAGTTCCAAATATAGGGATCTATTCCTGGACTCTCTAAGCTATTCCATTGGTTGGTTTACCTGTCCCTATGCCAGTACCACATTATTTTTGTAACTTCATTATAAAGCTTGATATCTGACAGGGTAAGTCTTCAATCCAATTATTATGCTTCAAATGTGTCTTGACTATTCTACTTTCTTTATTCTTTCATACAAATTTTAGTATCAGCTTATTAAGTTCCATGACATATTATGAGATTTTGATAGCAACTGTAATGATTTATAGATCAATTAGTATAGAACTGATATCTTTTTGATATTATGTTTTCTGATCCATGAACATGGAATATCTCTCTCCACTTATTTAATCGTCTTTAATGTCAAACTTTTATATTTTTCTTAATGAAGACTTTATACATTTGATTAAATTTATTAAGTACTTTAGGGCTTTTGTTGCTGTTTTACAATAGCAATGGTGTCTTTTATGAATTTTATTTTCTGATTGCTATGGTTTATAAAATGCAATTGATTTTTGCAAATTACTAAACAGCCACCTTACCAAATGTTCCTATTATTTCTATATTTGAAGAGTCGATAAAGTGTTCTATGTAAACAGTCAAATTAACCTGCATATAATGCCAGAGGGTTTTTTCTCCCCCTCCTTTCCAATTCTTAGGTGTCTAATTTTTTTTTTTTTGAAAGAAATTTTGCACTGGCTAGGATAGCCACACAATGTTGAATAGAAAGTGTGCTAACAAATATTCTTGTTGTCTTTCTGATTTTAAAGATGATGTTTTTTTTTTTAATTTTTTTTTTTAACGTTTATTTATTTTTGAGACAGAGAGAGACAGAGCATGAATGGGAGAGGGTCAGAGAGAGGGAGACACAGAATCTGAAACAGGCTCCAGGCTCTGAGCTGTCAGCACAGAGCCCGACGCGGGGCTCGAACTCACAGACCGTGAGATCATGACCTGAGCCGAAGTCGGCCGCTTAACCGACTGAGCCACCCAGGCGCCCCTTAAAGATGATGTTTTTAATGTTTCTCCATTGTGCATGTTTGTTGTAAAATTTTTATAGATAACCTTAATCAAATTGAGAAAATTCCCTTGCATTTTATTGCTTTTTAATCATAAAACTATACTGAATTTATCAAATATTTTTGTGAATCTAATGAAGTGATCATATGGATTTTTCCCTTTAACCTTTTAATATGGTAAATGATACTAATATATTTTCTAAAATTAAACCATATCTGCATTTCTGGGATAAATCTAGAAACTGTAAAAAAGACTGCATAAATATTCACCATAAATGCTATCTTCAAACTATAAAGAACCTTAAAAGCCAAATATATAATATGG